AAGCAACAGTTTAAGATTTCTAATGAGTATACTTGTTAAGGCCATAACTCTGGTACCAATGAAGCTAAAAATAAAATTATGGTTTTGTTGCACTCCCTGGCCTTCATGGAATGCTGTCATATCAAATTTGTAGCAATATTTTATGAGGAACATGTCAAAAGGCTGGGAAGAATGCAAGTTTATGTAACAGTCAATATTTAAAAATCTAAAAGTGATAGCAAAAAACTAATTGCATATTTGTTTTCAGCTGTGAAAAATACATATTGTATTAAAATTTCAGCTGGAAATACTGAGAAATAAGAAAAAAATTACAGACCAGTGTCTCCCCTTAAGACAAATGCCAGAGAACTAACCTTCATGCATGAGCTTCCAACCGACAATGTTTTGCTGTTTTCAGACATTAACGTTGCCATGAAAAGCGATCATGTGTCTTGCGCTTACACGCCTCACAGTAAAAAAGAGCTTTTGCTATATCATTCGGCGCATTCCAAGGCTGTGAAACGTAGTATTGCCCAGCATTGCCTTCAATCCACGCTGCGCAGGTCATGTTTGCACATGATGCAGACCAGCCTGGGTAATGAAATTGGTAGACTCAAAAAAGCTGGCTTTCCTCGGGCAGTCTTGCATGCCGTTGCCGAATCTTTGCTACGGAAGCTGAATACCAGCCCTCAGGAAGAGCACTCGAGAGAAAGTAGTGCACTGAACTAGAGGTCATGCCTTCTTTGCAAAGCTGAGCTATAACTTCAAGAAAAGGGCCACTAGGTTTGCAATTTTTGTTGTGTTTTCCACCTTGAATAAACTGGCACACTCGTGCCCACAAATCTCCCGTGCTAAGCAGCAAAAGTGCCGCACATGAACAGTGTCGAAGGTGTTCTGTATGAAATTCCCCTGAGCTGTGGCAAGTACAGTCGAGCCCACATATAACGGCCCCACTTAAAACGAACTTTCGCACGAACAATATCCGCGTGACCGTCAAAATATACATTGGTTCAATGGCACAAAATCGCATTTACAACGAACGTATCCGAGCACCGCTGATCGGTTACAGCGAACAGAGTCAGTGGTCTGCCGACTTCCCGGGAAACCAATTTCGACCACCGATCAGGCATCGGCGAAGTGCACATACATTCTTATTGTTAAACAGCGACCCTACCTCTGCGACCCTCTAGTTGCCGCTCTCCCCAACTCATGGAGGAAGGAAAGCTGTTTCCTTCCTCCATGTTCCGACTGCTTTTTGTTACGCACCCCTCCGTCCTTTGTCCCCCCGCTACTCTGAGCACCCCACATCACCAGACGAGGCCCGTGTTTTCACATTCACATTGCCACCGATCTTTCGAAGACCGGTCAGCCATCTACCCTGTTTTTGATCGCTGGCACTGTCGTTGGTGTCGCCGGCCTGGAGTGACCAGACTATTTACCAACATCGTCGGCCACCGACTGTATCTGATATTCAGCGTCTAGTGCATGCGCATATGCTACCCACCAACTCGATAATTTGCGATTCGTTTCATGCTTAGGACTTTTCTCGCTCACTTCGCCTTCGGCTCAGCATGCCTTCGGCACACGTGTGGAAGCGCAAAATCGGCTGTTAATTTGCACGGAACGAATCGCAAAATGTCGAAGTTCGTGAGGCCATGCCAACCCGCTGCGCAACAAAACGATTTTTCACCACGGCGGCCGATTCTTCAAACACCGCCGCGCACAACTTCTGCGCGCGCAGGCACTCTTTCCAAGTTTTTCTACGTGTGAGTTTCGCGGACCTTTCAAGCAAGCTACCCACCATGCCTCCTTCCCGTGTGTTTTGGTTTTCAAAGTCGCCCTCCCGCCGCATCCTCCCCCCTCTTTATTGCAACTCCTTGCCCTTCTCTTGCAAAGCTGCTCTCCTCTCTTGATCACAACCCCTTCGCCTGTCTCCACCGCTCCGCGACGCCCGCCACGCTAGCTCGAATTAGTTTCGTTTTCTGACTGGAAATGGGCCCAGAGTTGTTCCACGCGTTCTGGCATGTGCGTCGCGTGCGCGTCTTGCTTGGTGAGCGTGTGTGGTCCTGATGGCCGACGGGAGGACTAGCACACTTTTTCGTGCCGCTCAACAAAACGTCGAAAGTGTGACCACTTGGCTTGAGCGTAATCAGTGCGTTAGGTGCCGCGTTGCGGAGTGCTTGCTCATAGCTATTGACAACCTGGCAGCCAACTTGCCGCTTCAGGCGTCCCGGTATTCAGCTGAGCGTGGGGATGGTGAATATTTCGTGGGGGCGGCGGTGACGGCTACATGCGCGTGAAACTGTTTTCGCGAGGCCGACTTTGTCGACGTCGGGCCCGATACCGAACCTGAAGCTTCCGAACTGCGGCGGCGATTTGTGGCAGCGCGTCGTCGACTCCGATGTGCGAGAGTGGGTGGGACATCTGTTGCGGTGGTTTAATTATGGCCGAGGATGAGGCCAACCCTGCGAAACCGTGCACGGATTGGGGAATTGTGAATGAAGTACGTGGCAACAGCGATTTTGAGGAATCGGATTGCGTGAACAACAATACTTTGGAGCCAGTGTCTTATGCAGCTTATGTTACGGGCCTCAGCGAACGAGCACCCTGCCATTTTACATTAACTCGAGACCGCCCTTATTGCTTCTGTTCTTCGAAACACGTGCATCACGAACTTTTGGGGCAAAAATAGTTTGCGTTTTCACTCGCAACTTTTTTGAAAGCTGTGTTTCATTTACTAGGAACTTCTGGATACAGCGAACAGATGCGGCGTCACGCTCAGGTTCATTATAAGCGGGCTCGACTGTATTACATTGGATAAATGGAACGATGTATCAACGACCGTCTCGGGAAGCATGCCAATAGTGATGGTGCACATGTCAGGCCATGCTCCTATGTGCCCCGTTTTAAGCAATCTAGGATTATTGGCAAAAGCAGAGACCAAACAGCAAGAAAACTGCTAGAAGCATATTATATTAGAACTAATGGGTCAGCTTGTGTCAGTGACACATCTATTGTACTTTATCAATCTGAGTTGTCCTTCTTTAAACAACCGCTCATATGATGACATGTCTGTGCTTGCTATTTCACATCATTGCTATTTCACATCATCCCACATGGACGGAAGTTACCTGTTTTTCAGCCTGCACTGGCAAGTTTGTAGTTTGGTGGCCGTCTGTCTCTTTTCTCCCCTCTTTTTTTTTATTTTTCTGGTAGAGTAGAATCTCGATGATACGATTACAGTTTAAGCAAATTTTGCAATGATACGAACTTAAAGATTGTTTGGAATGGACTACATTATATAAAATACACCGTGATTCAGTGTTACACGAACGGTTTCCTCGGCCACCATGGGTGATATGAATGTGCAATTGACCGCTGCACACCAGCACCACAACCCGGCTTGTCTGTGGGAGGAAGGCCCATTCACTCTTGTCCTCGAAGGATTTGAATACAGTGAAACTCGCCAGAACTTCTCTTGCTCTAGAGGCTGGAAAAACACGCCGCGAAGCCAAAGCGAAAAAAATCGGTCCGAGATCAATTTTCCCGCCCCGTGACAGCATATCGCCTTTTTGCTTGACAGCTTTCGCTTCACCAGCTAATCTATCTCTCAGACCACATTATGTAAACAGGCAGCCGCTAATTCAACATGGCGGCAAAGACATCGGCAGTGGTTTGCGAGCTACCCGCGCAGCATGTCAAAGCTCACGGGTGTGAAACAGTGGTTTGGATTCCAATTGCCGAGAGCACCGGAAGTAGAAGGTGCAGCAAGTTGGCATGCCCCAACTTGTCTTGCTTTTGCACTGAATCTGTCGTCGCCGCTGTGTCATTTCTGCTGGTGTATCTTCCAAAATAATGTTTCTAAAGGTGTGAACTGTTTCTTTTCAGTGCTTTTCATGCATAATTAGACCACGGTATGAACTTCAGTGCTCAGGAAATGGGTAAAATGAAATGAATACTTAAACGGCGATGGCTGCAGTGGGGGTGGCATGTATATGAGGGGCAGAACGAATGTGAACATTTCCAACGGGCGCCGACATGGTTTTTTGGTCACTCTGGCGGTTTTGCTTTAATTCTCCAGAGTAAATTTTCCAAGACTGATTTTTTTCGTGTTGACTTTGTGGTGGGGTTTCCCAGCCACTTAAACGAAGAAGTGAGCGAATTTCCAATAAGCTTAGCCGCTTTCACTTCCTTTGATGTCAACTGTGAATGCGCCGCGTCAGCAGCATGAATGAGAAAACCGCGGCATCTTATTGAGAGACGGTGAAGGCAGGAAAGTTCAAAATAACATCACAAATTTTTTCAGCAAGGAGCCCATAAAGTTCTTGTTCATCTTTAACATCAGCTTTAAGTTGTTTTTGGTTCATACTAATCCAGGATAATACGAATATTTTTCATGCTCCCTTCAAATTCGTGTAATCGAGATTCTACTGCATAGCACCAGTTACTAAGTTTTCCACCATCCCCGACATAGTAGGGCATATCATGGTCGTACTAGGCTCAGGATGGGTGACATTTGGTGCCAGTGCGTACCGAGTATGCCAACCGCATAGGTGGCAAAACATCTGTCTAGTTTTTCTTTTATTTTGCTGTGTTAAGTTAGAGTATGTACTTTAATCATGTTATCTCCTTTTCTTACACAGCATAACCTCTTCAGCCTGCTCATTTTCAAAAGTAAACATGGTGTCCGTGACGCAGTGGGTCAGTGTAAAGCCACAAACAGATTGTTTAGCTTTCCAAGCAAAATTTACTCGAAGTAGGACACTGAAATGTACACTGAACCATCGAAATGTTTGTCCCATTCACATTTTAATAAATATAATTTTCTAAATGCGTTAACAATGCAAGTGAACAAAACCGAAGTCAGCCACAAGCTGCCATTTGCCAAGCGAAATGGATGTATGGAAGCCCTCCCCCGGAGACTTTACTGTCACGAAAAGTTGTCACTGAGTATAGTACAATAATGATCACCACACTCCACTTGAAGAAATGGAAAATGCAAGATTATATAAAGTGCTCACCTGAGAAACTTTGGGTGGTTTAACTCTTTGTGGGGTGGCAGTCTGCATGCCGAGATGACTATCACGTTGCGACCATAAGCATCATCCCCTGGCAGAATGGAACCAACAGTTACACACTGAACAAGCCAATGCACCAGAGTAGTCGTACGCGTACACATCGCAATATGCACAACACAAGGCAGCCACTGAATGAAAATGAAAAGGGTTAGACATAAAGCAGAAATTTGGGCTAGTTTTTTTCTCGCTCGACACAATATTAACGACAGTGATGACGAGGAAAGTACAGGGGATGTTATCTGTAGTACTTCCGACATAAGAAAGAAAATGGGACAAAAGGGTAGTTTGCCTCGGGCAGAGACCAAACCTTCGACCTTCAAATAACGCATCCAACGCTCAGCCAACTGAGCTACAGTGGCAGCCATTTCGGGGCATATAAGTGCACTTGAACCTGGGATGATGATAAATGTGGAACACTCGTCATTATACCGTACGGCAAAGCAGCGCACGTTTGACGGAGACAAGAAGGGCTCCGCCCGTGCTTCACTGCAAGCTATCACCAACTAGCCCAGCTTGTGGAACTCCTTTTCTGCATGTCGGAATCAGATGGCTTATTACGACCTGACCAATAGAGATGCACTCCCTTGTCACATGACTGGAGGCATTTTGGTTTTCAGTAATGCTACATGTTTTATGATTCCACAAAAAAAAACGCATTCTGGTACACCGCCAAACAAACCTTGATTCTTCATCAAAAGATACCTTCCTGAAGTGAGCCATATTTGTTGACCTTTGTCCACTCACCAGGGCCCAGTGCCACTTTTAACCCTGGTGGGTGGACAAAGGTCAACACAACTTTCACTGTGCCATTCTTGATACACAGTGAAAGTTGTAAAAGCTAGGTAGCCTTTTGCCTCGTTTGCATCAAGAGAGAAAAAATTCCTTAGCACATGGTAGGTACAAGACAAAGGGCACAATAACTACCCGAACACAGCGCTAACTTTCAACATGCGATTTGCTTCAGCATGCATCACGCCAATAAATAGGTTCAAAAGCAGCATGCAAAGGCGCATTTATAAGTAACAAATATGATGCCTTCAGTCCTCCTTGCAGACAAGACATGTGGCATCCAAAATCCATTGTCGTCATTCATAAACTAAGTTGTACACATGTTTTCAAAAAAAACTGCTACGCTTTCATATTGGTTACTCATAAATGCACCTGCCTGTGCTGCTTTTCAACATGTTTATTGGCGTGATGCCTTTTGTAATAAATTAGGTTTTGGGAGAAAAGAGGAGTCCAAGGCAATTTAAGTCTTTTTAATGTTTTTTTTCTTCTTTCTTTGCTATAACAGTGTTACCAAAACATAATAGTTTCAATGTACCAGACATACAGAAAGCACATTACGAATGCCCAGTCTTTATTACAAAGTTGTTGACATGCCTAATAGTAGCTCACATAAAAAATGCAGATGCTGAACCATTCCTTGTATCTGCTAGAAACATTCCAAAGATCTCCACCCACTTTTCTCAATCTTTGGCCAACTGCTTTGTTTCAATACTAATGACCTGTATGACACATCCAACCTGCTGAAGCCGTCGAAATGACTGTTTTTATTTTAGTTCACCCTTGCTCCCGAGGCAGATCTTTCATAACTTTATTTACTGCTTAGAACCATAGAGGTCCTCCTGTTTTTGAACTTAGATATGAAATGAACCATGTTGGGTGAGTTGGTACGATGTCATCACTAAAGGCATCGCAAATAATGTGGCCACAGAATACGAGCAAATGCACACATTGTGATGCTTTTGATGATGAAATGCACAGTAACGACTTTCATGTGCTTTGTGCTGCAGCTACAAGATGGTGCAGTGAGCAAGAGGGCGGCACCTTGCATATATCAAGGGCAGACATCAATAAAAGCTTTTCTGTTAATGTTACTATGGGCACTGTCACTAGTGTGATTGTTCGGTCACTTTAACGTGGTGTCAGAAGTTGGAAAAGATTAACGTGGCAGTAATACTAGATGTATCGCAATACGTTTTGTAAGACGAGTATCTCTATTTGTATTTCCATGACATTAGATAAAGTGTCATGTATCTTAAAATACAAGATACTGCCATCGTAACGCTTCTGTCGGAAACATTATTCGCCGAGTGAACTTCTCTTCTCAAGCATGTACTGGTGCCACTAAGCCGCCCAAATAAAACCAAGGGTAGTGTCATAATTTTATCTTTCCAGCATACTCCACCAATGAGGGAAGGCGAAGTTTGCGTGTCCTTTATGGTGGAGCAGAGCAACATGACAGACCTTGTGCTGCCTCGGCAGAAACAAGCGCACAAACACATCATTTCGCGCTTTCCCGCATGCCTTTTGTTTTCTCTACTTCTAACATTTTATTTATATCAGCGTCACGACACTTACTCTTGGCCAAGTACCAGCACCACGTATACCACAATGCTTGCGGCGATGACCACACAAATTCTGATGCTACTCTCCAGCGTGGTACTTGGGGTTACTTTGCATATCACGGCATTAACAGATCAGTGATTTGAATGATCTTGTAAATGTAAGTGTAAATCATTTGCAATTGACTTATGCATTACTAAAATTCTAACTATAGCATCGCCTTCAGTCGAACTACACTATCGCCTTCAGGTATAGTGGCTAAGGCACTCGACTGCTGACCCACAGGTCGCAGGATGGAATCCCGGCCGTGGCGGCCGCATTTTCAATGGAGGTGAAAATTCTTGAGGCATGTGTGATTACATTTAGGTGCCCGTTAAAGAATCCGAAGAGGTTGAAATTTCAGGAGCCATCCCCTACGGTGTCTCTGATCATCATATGGTGGTTTTGCAACGTTAATCCCTAACAGTTATTATAACTACATAGCATTGTGGATACCAATGCTATATCTATTAAAACAAGCGTTCACCTATCAGACAATATCTTAACAAACCATATCACTTTTTTTTTTGCTATTCCTATTCAAAGAGCTCTTGAAATCATAATATTGTTACGGGAAGGCTAGTTGGCTCATTTCACAGATTGTAAGGCAAGTGCTTTTGCAGCTGTCCTTTTCTTGCATCTTGTAGATTACCTAAGGCTTTGAACAGTTTTTTCTAAAAGGTATTTTTTTTCCAGTCTGGTGACTCCAGTATTGCCTTTTCTAAAGTGCAGCCAAAACAAGCTGTCTGCTTTCTACTCACCTTTAACTGCATGATATCTGATACCGTTCACACATCTATTATTCACTTGAGTTTACTCTTCTGCCAATTTATTTTGAAAAACAATTGACTCATTACCTGAGCGTGCATTGAGTATACAGTACCAAACATTTTGCTTACTGCTTCGTAGAGTGTCCAAACTTAGTTTGCATAATAATGTTGGAAATAATTAGGAGCCATCTCAAAGATCTTAGGAAGAGGACTGAAAAGACATTGCTATACCAAATGGTCCATTTTTCTTCTTACAGTCTCAACGAGACATTCAGGCTTGTTTTTCCAAAGGCACTCATAACCTTATTCCCTTAGATTACCAGGTAACTTGACAATACTTCATGATGAATTGTCATGGCTATTAGAAGTGCCATTTGTATCTGTACTTAATCACTATGACTGTGTGAAATGGAACAGCTTTTCTAATTCAGTTAGAAATATTTTATTTGCTTTAGGCTTCCGTATTTTTTTATTAATAACGATTCACAGGTAATCGTGGCAATAGATGGCATACTTACAGCGAAAAAAATACATGGTGGACAGTAAAAGGACAGGACAAGCGCTGGCAATGGCGTGAACAGTGGTGTTCTCCTGCATCGATTTGTGCAATTATACTGCCACGCGACTACGTCCAATTTGGTAATGTGACATGACTTCAGTGTTACGTCATCGACACACAGCCAATGATTGAGCAGGGCTTCCACATGGGCACGTATCATAGTGGCACTGGGAGCAAGCGAGGTGCGAGGAGCACCCTTCCCATTGTGAAGAAGTAGCAAGACTATTCTTTATCTCGCAGGTGTTCTGGCAAACTGCTTCTCCCGGCATTTCGCACTCTACGAAATGGCAGAGGGCAGCACAGGAAAACGAAAATGCCGATCGCGCAGCGAAAACTGCATCACCACCGGTCAAGGCACACTTTCGTAGGGCAAAGGACCAAGTGACGAGCTCTGTGGCCCGTCACGTTGCCCATGGGCCAGTTTGGACCACTGTACGTATGAATGGGATTGATTGATTGATTGATTGTTAAGTTTAACATCCCAAAACCACCATATGATTATGAGAGACGCCTGTTATATTCAGTTTCGGTTTTTACTTTGTGCTCTTTCACCCCCAAGGGGCGCGTCTGTCCTTTATGTATATATTCGATGTGTTGCGTACAATAAACGTCTTTTTGTACGGTGGTGCTGCCGGTGCTTCTTACGTCTTTTGCAAACACCACATTGGCGACGAGGATGGAATAAACACGTCAAGCTACCTTCAGCATCGAGTGTCGTCCGGGTCCGCCCCGCCATGAGTTTCTCCGGCCTTGCTCCGCCGCCGCCGTTCCTCCCGATGCCCGGCCGGCCGTCACTTCCCTGGGAGGAGTGGGCGCAGACTTTAACAGTCTACCTTCTAGCGTCCGGAGCAGCTGAGTTCCCACCAGCGCGACGCAAGCCCATTCTTCAACATTGTTTGGGGGGCGGAAGGGCAGCGTGTTTACCTGACTTTACCTGCAGGGTCAAATGCCGCAGCACCAGCAAGCGCCGCAGCACCGGAAGTACAACAGAAGCCTCCCGCGGCTGCTGCTGACGAGTACGAGGCTGCACTCATCGCCTTACGGCAGCAGTTTTCCACGTCGTGTAACGTCGTCATCGAGCGTCATCGTTTCCACCGCCGCAGCCAACACGCAGGCGAGTCCGTTCATGACTTTGTTGCTGCTTTACGGGAGCTCGTTTCGCATTGTTCGTTCGCTTCACAAGATGATGCTCTGCGGGACCGATTTGTTGCAGCCGTTGTTTCCAACCACGTACGTGAACGGTTGCTGCTCGAGGGTTCCTCCCTTTCGTTCGAGAGCACAGTGCGGATCGCTCTTCAGTTTGAGCAAGCAGCTGAAGAGCTGAAGGAATTTTCTGCTTCGGTGGAGCCTGTTTCTGTACGGCGTCGTTCCCAGTATTCGCATTCTTCGCGAAAATTCAATTTCCAGCCAAAAGCGCATTTTCAGCAAAACTCTCCAAGCGCTAGCGGTTCGCGTGCGCCACAGGGGCCCCGCCCCCCTCGGCGAGACAGAGATAGCCGGTCCGTTTCACCACACTGTTTCCGATGCGTCTCGCGGAATCCCCACGCATCAGCGTCACAGTGCCCTGCGCAGGGAAAGAAGTGTTTGTTTTGCGGTATCAAGGGCCACTTTCAGAAAGTATGCAACCGCAAGCGTCAAATGCAAGGCAGGATTCGTGAAGTTGGCATCGATCACGATGCTTTGTCAGGGGGAAGTTCTGAGCAAGTTTTGACTGTGCAGCATCCCGCTCGCAGCGCAATTTACATACAAGTGCGCGTAGCGGATGTCAAGTTGTCATTCCTTGATGACTCAGGGTCGTCTGTTTCAATTCTATCAGAGCAAGAATTTCACCAACATTTTCAAAGCGGTTTGCTCCTCCCAGCTCCGCATGTCACTTTGTTTGACTATTCGAAGCGCCCAATTTCCGTGCTAGGCTGTTTCCAGACAGACATTCAAATTAAAGGGCGCTCTGCACCACTTCTTTTCTACATCGTTCGCCAAGGAACTTGTCTAATTGGCCTTGACGGCATTAAGGCCCTAAATCTTCGAATACAGGGCTCCACTCTTGAGTGCCTGCACACGTTCGTTGCCCCGCCGGCGCGTGTTAATGACCCGACACCTTGTCACATTCCCATGCAGTCAATAGAGCAACCCAGGCAAGCAAACCTTCCGCCAGCCTTGGAACACGACTTCTGTTCACTTTTCAGTCCCTTTGGGTCTTGCTAAGCGGTTCACGCATCGTGTCAAGATTCGGCAAGGCGTGCAGCCGGTATCTTCGAAGCTGCGCCGTCTTTTATATTCACTTAGGAAACCAGTGTCAAATGAACTTCACAGGTTGCTGCGCCTTGACATCATCGAACGCATCGATGCTTCTGAATGGGTTTCGCCCATTGTTGTCGTTGACAAGAAAGACGGCACCATCAGAATTTGTGTTGACCTCCGGGAGCCTAACAAGGCTTTTGTACCAGACAGCTTCCCGTTGCCTCATACAGAGGAACTCCTTCATGCCTTGGTAGGTGCGACACACTTCTCAAAACTTGACTTGGCTTCTGCCTACCATCAGGTTCTTTTGCACCCTGACAGCAGGGACCTGACAGCCTTCATCACGCATGAAGGACTTTTTCGGTTCAAGAGAGTTTGCTTTGGGTTAGCTTCTGCCCCAGCGGCATTTCAGAAGATGATGGCCACAATTCTGGATGGCTGCCCTGGTGTGTTGCTCTACATTGATGAAGTGATAGTCTTTGGGAAAAGTGCAGAAGAACATCTTTTGAACATAACAAAGGTCTTGCAGAAAGTCAAGTACGCAGGCCTGAAATTGAACGACAAATGCCTCTTCTACGTTCCAGAACTTTCTTTCCTAGGGCATAAGGTCACTGCACAAGGTATCTCACCGCTTCCAGAGAAAGTAGACTCGGTAGTTAACACTTCAGTGCCAACAGATGTTGCTGCCTTCCGTTCATTCCTGGGTCTTGTAGAATACTATCCCAAGTTTGTTCCCCGCTTGGCCCAGGTGGTCGAGCCTATGCGCGTTCTGCTTCGCAAGAATGAGCCATTCATCTGGTGAGCCGAAGCAGACAGCAGTCTCCGGAGGGTCAAGGAAATGCTTTCTTCAAGTACAGTTCTCCACGTGTTCGATCCATCACTTCCAGTCATCGTGTCGACCGACGCTTCTGACTGTGGGCTGGGAGCCGTTCTGCAGCAGCAAAATGGCCATGAGCTCCGCACAGTGGCTTTCGCGTCTCGTACCTTGTCACCAGTGGAAAGAAAGTACTCGGTCGGCGAACCCGAAGCGTTGGCATGCATTTGGGCGTGCGAACGATGGCACACTTACCTTTGGGGTCGCCACTTCAAGATTCGAACGGACCATCAGGCGTTGGTATCGTTGCTGTCTTCGCAAGGACGTGGCAGAAGGCCACTTCGAATTGCACGCTGGAATGCGCGACTCCTATGCTACAATTTCACTGTCGAGTACCGCAAGGGGTTCACTAACACGGTGGCAGATGCTCTTCCTCGGCTGCCAGCTCCTGCCGCACAGGCACAGCTGGCCAAGGATGAAGAAATTGTGTCGTTGGTCGAGTCGGCTTGCGTGACGAAGGAAGAATTCAAGCAAGCCGTCCTCAATGATGGTTGTCTGCAAACGGTCAAGTCGTTCGTGCTCGGTTCTTGGCCACCACAAAAGTCCATACCAGAGGAGGCAAAACCTTTCTACTCTGTGCGCGAAGAACTTTCTGTTGTTGATGACCTTCTACTAAGCGCAGAACGCCTCGTTGTTCCGTCCTCACTCACGGCTCAGTCCATCGCCGTTGCCCACGAGGCACATCCGTGCATCACACGCACAAAGGCGCGACTTCGTGAGCTATTCTGGTGGCCACGGATGGACAAGCAAGCTGAATCTGCCGTGAAAAACTGTCACATCTGCCTGGAGGCAGATAAGTCTGCCAAAACATCGCCAGCGCCATTGCAGCCTATTGACTGGCCTGAAAGGCCATGGCAGAAACTGGGCCTAGACATTGTTGGCCCATTGAAACATGCACCTCACAATAGCCAATTTGCTATAACACTGGTCGATTACCATTCCAAATGGCCAGAGATATATTTCTGCAGCGAAGTGGCCACAAGCACCGTGAAAGACTTCTTAACCAGTGTTTTTGCCCGTGAAGGATACCCAGAAGAGATTGTTTGCGACAATGGGCCGCAGTTCACTTCACGTGAATTTGTAACCTTTCTTCAAAACCGAGCCATCAAGCTGTCTCATTCGTCTGTATATTACCCCCAGGCGAATGGGCAAGTCGAGAGGTTCAATCGAACTCTGAAGAACTTCATCCAGGTTTCACTCCTCGAAAGGAGACCTATCCGACAAGCAGTTACGGACTACCTCTCTATTTACCGCTGTACTCCACAGGCTACCACTGGAGTTGCCCCAGCAGTTCTGCTGCATGGGCAAATGCCCCGAACCAGATTGGATGTTGTGGGGTTTTCGGCACCAGCGTTTGCAAAATACCCAGCAAGGGAACTGGCGCGACTGCGCCAAAGGGTCCGGCTTCAACAGCAAAGCAGTAAGGAGTACACGGACCGCAGGAGAGCTGCTAAGCAGCCAAAGATAGCTGTGGATGATTTCGTTCATATCAAGAAGCCGTCCGTTCGCTTCAAGGGGGATCGCTCCTTTTCCTCGCCAACTGAGGTACTTGCAGACGGCCGCACATGGAACGCCTCCAAGCTTTCCCGGGTTCCTGAGAGGGGCACGAGTCCACCATACCAACGTTCGGAGCTGCCTGCGCCACAGCTTCCGGTTCAAGTGCCGCAGCCTGCCCTGCCGCCGCTGCCATCTCCCGGGTCGCAGCCGCCGCCTCTTGGCGTACTGCAGTCTGCCGTACCGCAGTCGCCTGCTCCTGATCCGCAGCTGCCTGTACCGGAGCCTGCCATGCTGCAGCCGCCTTCTCCTGGGCCGCAATCTCGGTCTCCTGGCGTACTACAGGGCTCTACAAGCTCATTACCATCTCCAACCATGCAGCATCCCCATCGGCCGTCCCGAGAGCGCCGGCCACCGGTCTGGCTCAAGGACTATCAGACCCACTAGTTGTCTGTGTGTATAGCATGGTGTGTATGTAGTGTAAATATGTATGTGTATACAGCATGTAAAATGTACAGTGCATGCATAGGGGTTTCTTACTAACACTTACTAACAACTAATCACTACATATAAGGGAGGGAGTATGTTATATTCAGTTTCGGTTTTTACTTTGTGTTCTTTCACTCCCAGGGGGCGCGTCTGTCCTTTATGTATATATTCGATGTGTTGCGTACAATAAACGTCTTTTTGTACGGTGGTGCTGCCGGTGCTTCTTACGTATTTCGCAAACACCACAACGCCGTAGTGGAGGGCTCCGGAAATTTCGACCACCTGTGGTTCTTTAACATACACCCAAATTTGAGCACATGGGCCTACAACATTTCCGCCTCTATCGGAAATGCAGCCGCCACAGCCGGGGTTCGATTCCGCGACCTGCAGGTCAGCAGTTGAGTACCTTAGCCACTAGACCACCATGGCGAGGCAGTGCACATATGAAGGGGATTGGTCAGAGAAAAAAAGGCCCAGGAATTGTTTTTTAAGAGCAAAGGTCTGTGCGACACACAGTACTGTAATATTTTAAAAATGTGATCACCACGGTCTACTTATTTGAGGGTGTAAAAAAAAGGTCTAAGCTTTTTTACTGGTCCTTTAATTGTCGACACGGTGCGACACAGGAAGAAGACCCTAGCAACCACGTCCCTTCGAATAGACAGTGGTGCCAGCTTTCCATCGAGGTATTATTGTGAAAAACCATGAAAGCTGTTGTGCCTACCCGCAATGTCGACAATGCCATGGCATTCAATGTCAGTGAAGTCCTCAAGCTGTGGTCGGCCATCCTGGGGCGGTAAAAGGTCAGGGGGCGGTTCAAGGTCGAGGCCTAGCACGGCCTCATAATTGTTGTCGTCCAGCAGGCTCTCCGAAAGGGACGGCGAGGAGTCCAAGTACTCGGGCGAGGAGGAGCCGCCCTTGCTGCCACTGCTCACGTACCGGCCGTTGGCCGACGTGGTGTCCCGCAGATCAAGGTGCACCGTGAGATTCCGATTGGGCTCACCAACTGCAATGTTCGGTTAGCGAGAAGATTGAAAAGAAACTGAGTACACTCCACCGAAGTGGATATACCAGGAATAGCTCCTCCGCAAGTTACACAATTGCAAAGACAAAAACATATGGTCAACAAAAGCCATTGGGACGGCATGCACTCCATCGACCTCCTCCCTTAGGAGGGAAAGTGAAGGCCTGCTGGGCCTACTACCACCAAGCCACTAAACTTAGGCTGCCTTTCAAAGTCGCTCGCTATGCCTGCCTTTAACAGTGCACCCATCGCAATTCAGGCAGTCGTCACAATCATGGCAGTGCATTGCCAGTTGGCTGCACGCGGCCGTTGACAGGTTCTGTGAACAGGTTCCGCATTCATTATTGGTACACACTAATTTTAGGGGCGTAGAGGCATACATGTTCTGTTTATACATAATCATACACTGCAATGCCTGGCAAACTGTGCTATTTGGGGTGACCTTTTATTTACATCCATTGTAACTGCACATAAAGTAATGACTCACCTTTGATGGGCAGGTTCCCATGGGTGCCTTGAAATAAAAGATGCAGCGGCATTACTCACTAACTTCCTCTATGTGAAATCTAATATTCGAATCAAAATACAGGAACAAAACTACAGTTTTATACTTAGTCACATCGAAATAAAATGAACAGAGACATTAAACAAGCTTTTTGTTCTTTTATGGACCAAGGTGGGGGTGGGTTCATTATACGAGCGGGTAAATTGGGAGAGTAAATACGGTAGCTAACCTTTCTGTCATTGTGGACAATGGTCAAAATTCAAAGAGGCATCAGAGTGCACTCTAAAAATAGCAAAATTTCTCATGTATATTTCCTAATGCACATTGAATCAAACTAACAGCAAACAGTGGCAGTGCGTCAGCACACTGGTATAGCTGTTCATATAATGGTTGTCAGTATCGGTTCTGCGAAGGTAAAATTACAGAAGCAATCGTGTTTATAGTGCATCTCATCCACAAAGAACACATACGCACCTGAAGAGGAGGAGTTTTGCATGGACATGGTCGCAAATGGAAGGTACTATCAAGGCAGCATTCTAACAGCCCTTATCTCTGGTGCGTCAAAGATAGTGAATTGTGTATTCGGCGCACCACTCAAGTTTATCGAATGAGCTTGTTGATAGTATTTTATTTCACGATATACAGAGATACAACATGTGTGCATTTTTTTTTCAACCTTGACATGACCTAAATACTGGAGATTCATCTCTGACTTACTATTTGTTGTGCTTTTCTTTTTGTTCTTTAACTTTTTTTCAGCCATATGGATTGCAAAAGGCTTGTCGCATTCATAAGGTTTTGGCTATTTATAAAGAATGTCCTTACTGTCTATGGATATTAAACAAAAATTTCTGAAAATGAGGAAGTTAAAGAAGTAAACTTTACAACTATGCAGCCTAAAAATGCTATCAGGATGGCATGAACTGCGATTTAAAGCAAACAAAACCAATGTGATATGCATCCTTCTCATCAATTGTCCAAGACAATGTGCTGCACAGGCCCTCATTATGAGATCAAAGGTTTGACAGTCTGATCAGACCAAATAATTGAATAAAAAGGCAAGCATGCTAACCTCAAGAAAATAAAAAAGCATTGATGTTTTGGCCTCCCGAACCAAATTGTGAAACAAGTTAATTTGCAAGACAACATATTTTTTCCGTTCAGGACGACCACCCAGATTAAGTATAGCTTGCACCTGTCCACGATGAAAATTCACTAAATTGGTTTCCTGAAACGACAATACGTGGCAAGAATTTTCTCCCTATATTATCGATGCACACTAGGTCAGAACACTCCTTAATGTGCTTATGGCTTCACCATAAGGTGCAGTGGCACAATATTTCACCTGCGTGAGTGCTGTCACTTTTGCTGACAAGATTGGCATGGTACCTGAAGCAGTTGAACAAGTACTCATCCTCCATGTTTAGACTGCTTCTGTTTGTACAAGGTCCTACTTGCACTAGCAGCAGAGCGGCCCATTACTTGATGTTCTCAGGCCACCGTGCCCAACTGGCTTTGGTCATGCACATCAAGCTTCTCTTGTCATTCGAACAACAAATACAAGGGCCACTTTTGAGATGTTCAATGGTGGCCACACAGTGACATGGCTAATTGGCGATGGAGGAGCAGTTCTCACAGCCACAATGGCGTACTTCATAGTCTACTCCCAACATTGCTACAAGCTGCGGGAAAACATGACTCACCAGTGGGATGTATTGGACACTTTCAGCATGATTCGTATTTCCCACGGAACGTATATTGCATCAGCGATGATTTCGCGATCTGGCAACACATTGCAGATCTATGTGGTTACTGCGTAGCTAAGATTGATAAGGCGAGCTAAGTGAACTTCTGGCCTAACACAATCATCCTGCCGAGTGCTTGCTCATTTGTTGGTTTTTCCCTCAGTTTTGTTGTTGCATGGTTCAACTATATATCACTTTAAACCGTATACGTTTGATCCAAAAGTGTGTTCTGCATGAGCCTTCTTATTTCCTGCCACCTGTTATCTTCTCATTGGAGTGAAGGTGAGGCTTCCGCACTTCCGTGTTGCTCCACGAGTAGTGTGGCGGCTTGTGGCTCATTATGGTTTTGATAGCTCACAATGTTGTTTAGAAAATTACGCCAAAATGTGAATGGGACGTACTTGAAGTGGTGTAGCGCATTACGGGATTGAAACAGCCGAGCAGACCGACACAAGGAGACAGAGCACAAACTTTTGTATCTATACGCGCAGACATTTCTTTAATCCCAAAATGCGCTATATCAGTTCACGTACAACGAACCAACTCGTCTAATAACAAACTTACTTGTATAGATAATCGAGTGCCCTTCTGTTTCCACGTTCTCTGCCGCAATTCAAGGGACGTAATGATAGCGCTTCAATCACTAGTGCTGTAGCAAGGTGTCAGACGAGCTTCGCTCATGAGTCACTTATCATTGCTCGATGTGTTTTTTTTTTATTTCAGTTATGCCTTTAATAATACGGAGTGTCTTAAAATGCGAAATTCACTTAACAGACAATTGTTTTCTTTTCTTTTCCCATGATTTGAAGCGTTAGACAATGCATTGTATCAAGTGTCACTACTTACGTTGGCATACCCATTGTTCGTCATTACACACCGTAATATTGTATTGCAGTGCTACATCTCACATGTCATTTGTATCTTTTTGCTGTTTTTTTGTAAGCTCTTTTTATTGTTCAAGTGCATTTCCACAGAAAATGTAATGCCTCCACTCCTGCTTGAGGCCTGGAAGTTCAGGCCAGCAGTATTGAATAAATAAATAATAAATAAATAAATAACACTGGTGAATGGGACAAACAATTCGATGATTCAGTGTAAACTTTGGTGCCAATTTACAAACACATTCTTCTTGGAGAACTAAACAGCGTATTGACGATTGCACACTGAGCTGCGTCAGGAACGCCACTTTGGGAAAAGATCATGCAGAAAAGAAATGGAAAGAAAAGGACGGAGGCATTCTTGTAAAGATGACGTTATCTTACGTATCACTTACCGCAACTGTTAAGTCTCGAAATAAGTAAAGCAGCATCTTGTTTCAGCAAGAACAAATAGGAAAATTTTCAGTAACCTTAAGTACCACATTCTGGCACGCTTCAATTCTGTTGCTTCCACAATGGTGTCAAGAAAAGTTCTGAACAAGTACAAGCCAATAAATAAATTTCTGTTCTTATTCCAAGAAAGAATACCTGGTGTTGAAGATGTGCCATCAAAGGTTTCCCTGTTCAAAGATGTTCAGGAAATGATAAACGACGAACCCTCTGAGCAAAATACACTTCTCGAAGCAAAAACCTCACATCCCAAAGGTGTGCTGTCCTCATGGACCATAAAAGCCCTACGGCTCACCCAGCGACGTCTGCACTAGCTCAGTGTCATCAAACTCCAGGGCTGGCTCAAAGTCACAGTCGTGGCTATCTGGCATGCTGTCGCTGTTGGTAGAGTCACCTGCGGGAAACATGACATCTTAGTAACCCATTGATCAGGGCTAATTGGCACATAATTATACCAAAGAAAGTAATAGCACAAAAGGAACAAAAATAACATAACAAAGAAATGAAGGCCATGGCACAAGTTCTGACTGGCAACTGAATTTTTATTGTATGTAAACCAGCCTTTGATGCTCTTTCTGAAAGAACATGCTCACATCAAACATTTGTGAATCACAATCACGTTATTTCTTTCATGAAGTCTTTTCGCCAGCAATAGTAGAAGGGAGAGCAAACTAACACTCTTCAAATGTGACAACTTTGTTAGTTAGCCCTCTCTTCTACTACCACATACCATCGACCATAGCGTTCAGCTGGAAATGGGTCACTGGCACATCAATTTTCAAGGGCCACAAAGTATACTACTAGTTCGCTCTTTTCATGCAAAGCATTTATTCATACTTCTACTCTGATAGTAGAAGCACAGCTGCACATTAAACAGCTCCAGGTGGAGCCCTCCAAAATGGCATCTCTCACAAATGTATGCCGATTTTGGGACGTTGAATCACATATATTTTTATTAGCAGTATCACAGCAATTTGTTTTTTTTAAGTGTAGCGTTATGCAAAGATGTAGTATTTAATTATTTTAAAATTGAAATTTAGCCTCGATGAGGGCGCCCCTAGAAGAAAGTGCAATAGGGAAAACGGTGGCGACCATGCGATCATAACGCAAAGTCAGCAGATACACACTAGGTGTTTTAAGCCGGAATGCGCCACGGTTGATTTTTTTTTTTTTTTTTTGTCCCCTATGATGGTCTGACCTTAGTCTCAAGTTTGCGTAGCGACAACAACGCCGCACTGCGGCTCTGGCAGCAAGCTCAGGGAAACTGGTGATATGTGCGGCAGAGAGCGCAGGCGACTCTGTGTTTCACCATAGCGGGAGCACATGTGGCACGCATTCTAGAGTCGGTATGGTGAACTTCGGCGCCGTGCTGTCAGCTTGGGGCGCTGGAACTGGACGCTCGCTATACAACGTTGCTTTTCCACAATTTCGCAGAAGTGATCATAGGGAAGCGTCAGTGAGGTCCGAAGTATTGTTCTGTGACAAGAGTGCAGACAGTACAAGGACACACAACCTGCTTGTAAAACTATGGGTTGCTGAACAAGTCATACGAGAGAGAAAGAAAGCAAGCGGGGATCCCCGCTGTTTAAAGAATAAAGTAAGTTCTAGCTCTGTCTTGCCTTCCATTTTGATTCTCTCAGTTCACTTATAATCATTTGTTTCGACTACTGAATCAATACATAAGATGATACGTCCCTGTGATGACTGAAGTAATAATAGCTTGCTGTCTCCTCGCATTGTGAAAGTCCAGTTACGGTTGCATGTTGAAACAACTTTGTGTTTTCATTTCTTGTGTTTGTGAGACATAGCTGTGGATAGCGTTGCATTGGTGGTTGCTTTCAAATGAACTGTGCACATTATAAGAAGTTTGCCACCTGCAATTCACGCATCGAGATGGCTGCATTATTGTGCCAGAACGAACCCCTGTGCATTTTCAGCAAACTTTGACATCGCCTTGCTAGTTTGTTCTATTTTGTCGCTTCATTAGGGTGGTATTAATTCGAGCTGCTGAATCGAACTAGCACTTCATACATTCGGAGATGTCTGGTTTTCAATCTTGCATGCAGTGTGTATGCGTGTTACACTCCGTAGAGCACTGTCAGTGTGCATTTACGAGTGCGCTAATTGCTTGAGCTCGTCGCGCTCTCGATATCACACTGTGCTTAAAATTCGGCACCTCTCACGCTGAGCCGTGTTTCCGCAGCAGGCCTTGCATGCCTGTACAGTCGACATTGTCATAAAATTGGAGTGCAAACACGATGCGAGATTGAAAAAAAAAAACGGTAGCAGTTCAACTTGCTTCGCAATGGTTACAGCTAAGTCAGCAGGCGATGCTCCAGTGGGACGGAGGACATGACTCTAATCTTATCAAGCTTTTTAGTGCTATGGCCGTGTCATCTTTGTTTATTTTCCCATGCGGCGAAAGTTCACACCATGACAGTACGCTGATTCATTGATTAATATTGTGACAGGGCGAGATCTAGGCTTATAGTGTAGCATCCACAGAGAATCGGCAGCCAAACAAGATGGCTGAGTTGCCTCTCGCGCAAGCGTCTAACGCACAGGCGTCTTCGTCGTCTTCGGATGCCACCGTATAGGACTGGCATCACCAGTGTTGATCCGGTGAGTCACTGCAGTTGTTAGGCCGAGAGGGCGGTGGTCAAAGTCGAAAATGTCTCTATATGATGTTAGCAGACGATGGAGGCCGGCAGCTTGCGCTGAAGTTAGATCAAGAGCAATCATCTTGTTAATGTGATCGGCAGGCAGAGTGTAATTCCGGCCAAGACAGAGAAATGTAGCATTGGTATCCAAACCAGTAACCTTGCAGCTGTCAAGCGGAGATAGGGTGGCCAAAGACATGTCTTGCCGAATAACGCGAGTCAACAGACTGACATTGAGTAGGGGTATAACCACTGTATTATCAACGACGGAGACAACAGTGTGAGCAAGGGCGAGGTCTCGGGCCATCAGTACGTCGGCTGTAGGAGTGATGAGATAGTCACCATTGGGCACATAACGTGAGCACGACAAAGTGACATATGTAGCAACTTGCGGGAGCAAGCGAATATGGTGACGAGAGCATAAACGTGGAGAATGGTCAGCTGGAAAATCGACAAGCTGCGGCAGCTCAAGCTGAAGAGCACCAGTGGCACAATCATAGAGCGCAGAATGACGTGACAGAAAGTCCAAACCAAGTATTAGGTAATGAGGACACATTTCAATGACGGCAAACTGAACTAATGTAGGATGACCGGCAATGGACACACAGGCCGTGCACTTCCCTTGAACGTCGGGGGTGCCCCCATCAGCGAAACGATGTGTGTGGGAAACGGCAGGCGTGAGCATTTTGTGTAGGCGTCGGCAAAGGTTCGCCCTCATTACAGAAATGTGCGCTCCAGTATCTATAAGGGCCGAAATAACCACACCGGCAACGTTAAACAAACTTTGTCTCGTCGGAAGCGTCAAGAGAGGATTTGTGGACAGAGTCGAAAATGCAGCGTCACTTCCGGGCGCTGCACCGTTTAGTTTTCTGGGTAGGCAGGGGCGGGGTTGAATGGGGACGACGGCCTGCGAGTCAGCGGTGAGCGAGACGACTGGCTACGCCCTGGAGGCGAATGCGACTGACGACCATGCGGTGACGGAGATCGGCTGTTGAACCTTCTGTAGTTGTTTGGCGGAGAAGGCTGCGCGGCAGATGCAAAGCGGGTGCGGTCCTGTCGGTAGTGAGGTTAAGATGAAGTCCGAGGTGGTGAGGACGAGCGGCAATTGCAGTTACGGACGACATAACCGATACGGTGGCAATGAAAACAAATTGGTCGATTGTCGGCGGTTCTCCACGCAGCGGGGTCGCGAGATCGGGCCGTAAACTGCTGCTTGTGATAGGACGAGGGTAGATGCCATAGAGCTCGCTACGGGCTGGGCAAAGCGCGCACTGTTACGACCGGAGTTTGCAGGCACCGGAGGTCCGGGATGAAGTTGTCGAGGAAGAAAGAAGAGGGACTTGAAGAAGGTTTATTCACATTATTTACATAGTGAGCTCTCGTACATGACGAGCTCTTTCTGAAGCTCTTTCGTACATGACGAGCTCTCGAATCTGGCGTTCCTCTACATGGCGCTCCTTCACATGAGCCGGGTGGCTCATTATAAAGGGTATGTGCTCCCCAGACTCCTAGATCAGGGAACACGTGCAGATGGTACTCTCCAATCACAGATCACACACAACTGGCGAGGGGGACGAGCATGCACGGCTCACGTGAACGTCCAATATTAAGGTGTGACTCTGCAGTCCAAGGTAGCGCCAGCGGGGCTCTTCCTCGTCGAGTGTGTGCCGCTGGTCGAGGGGTCGCCAGCTCATGACAGCATACTTCAAAAGGTCCGCCGAATTTAATTAGCGGGGCTATTTTAAGGCGGCCGCCGCGGTCTCTTCCAAGAAGATGCTGTATTTGTTGTCCTCTCTCGAACGGCTTACGGAGTCGTGGCAACACGTCTCTCCTGGCCGGAGGCATTGTCCCTCCGGCCAAGAGGGACAATGCCTGGCGGTCATAGGCAACCGGCCGGTCTCTTCCAAGGAAGATGCTGTATTTGTTGTCCTCTCTCGAACGACTTACGGTGTCGACGACGTCTCACCCTCTGGCCAGGAGGGACAATGCCTGGCGGTCATAGGCAGCCGGCCGGTCAGTTACTTGTTTGAGGATCCAAAGAGCGCCGCTCTCTCGTCAGCTCTGGCGCCAGTCACAACAACACCGAGGGAATACCTATGCTGGCTAGTTCTTGGCGGACGATGGCTTGAACCTTGTTAGTTGTGAGTGGGGTCGTATCACTTGCAGCAGTGTGAGCCGGAGCAGGGGCAATGGCTTCAAGTTTAAGCTGTACAATTCGGGTCACCTGATCCTTTGAAACTACAGGTATTCCCTCTCACTTTAATCCAAGTGCTAGCTTAAATAATCTGCATGCCATTGAAATAATCTGAGTGCCGAGCTATTTAATCTTTGTGCCAAACATTTATTCCAAGTGCCAACATATTTAATCCAAGTACCAACTCACTCAGGCCGCGTGCCATTGAGTTTAATCCAAGTGCCACTGTACTTAATCCAATTGCCAATGACTTTAATTCAGGTGCCAGTCAGTTTAATCTACGCACAAAAACCAGAATATGGGGCGTAAAAACGGCAGTGCAATTGAAATGCAGTTCCTACAGTATAAAAGACAATAGTCGGAAGGTAGAATCACAGTCCCTTAATACCGTTCTGGTCACGAAACTTCTCCGTCACTCTATGGGAGAGCTTGATATGGTGCCAAGAGCGGCCGCTACGCGGCGCAAGCCGTCCTAGGGGGGCCATCGCCCCGCTGCGCCCGGCGGAACGCACTGGCCGCGGCGGCATCCCGAAGGCGTTG